AACTCAATGACGATGCCGGCCAAACGTATGGGAATGTACCACGTCCACGGTACGATGGAAATGATCATGCTTTCTATAGACTCCGGAGCATGTGCGTTCCTCTAGGTCTTCCTATTAATATGACCAAGTTGCGAAAATAAGGTCAAACAACTTGTATACAAAGAAAGGAGACTTCGAGGACACAAAAGGCCGCCATTTTGTCTTCATTTCTTAGAAATATTTTACTTACGATTGAATTCTTCTTTATGGTATCAAGCTTTCATTGCCTTTGCTTTCTGTAAATATTCACCCAAATTGGTTATCCTGGAATTGATTTCCAATATTTGTTACTAAGTGACAACAGCTTGACTTTATAGCTTTTGTAATCCTAATTATGCCTGAATGTCAATGGAATCTGAAATTACCAGTTACCTTGTGGGTCCCTTCGACCTATAAGCTCCAAAGTGCATTTTATTGTGGTATGGTCGCATCACCTAAGTCGCCTTAGGTGATGAAGACTAATAGTGAATTTTTCCACAATTACATTAGTATGCCTCACAATATCACTGAATTTCACCTAACCCTGACCCAAAATGTTACTGATGGATAATAAATCTAGTCACCTCAGGTCGCTTAAAGTGTTATTAGACCAATATTTTACTGTTGAGAGTATATTTTGGCATTGTTGAGGGGACTTTTATTTTGTATGAAAGTGCATGAAGAAGTGATTAGTAGGTCGATCTCACCAGAAGAGGACGGATGAATCGCGTTGTACTGCAGCCGTTTGGCTTTTATACTACATTCAGGTTGACGCAGTTATACGAAATGAAAGTCCCCTCAACAATGCTATTTCAGGAGATTCATCTAAACCAAGTTTCTCTTCGTATCTATATTTTGGCAGGCACGGCCGAGTGAGACCCGCTCATATAAATGTATTTCATTACCTTAGGCGACCTAGGGTGACTGCAGCTATTATAGATAGAAAGAGAGTAACTGAGTTTTGATGAATCTCCTGAGATAAGATTGTTGGGGAGACATTCATTTTGTATGGAAGTACATGTAGAAGAGGTTCGTAGGTTGATCTCACTAGACGATGACGGCTGAATCCCGTTGTACTGCAGTCTTGACCTAGTGTTAGCGTGATACCTTTACAAGAATGAATTCCAGCTCTGATGATATCCATCACATGGTGGACAAAAGCTCAGCCTTTTTCACTCAAAGCGAGGGAGGATGTCTCGTGGACTGCGTCAACCTGGACGTTGTATTAAGGCTAAACATCTGCAGTACAACGGGCTTCGATCATCGTCTTCTGGTGAGATCAACCTACGAACCTCTTCTTCAGCCACTTTCATACGAAATGAGGCTCTCCCCAACAATACAGTTATCATAGCAATAATGAGTTTGCCTCAGCCCATCTTTCCAGCGGCCAAAATTACTGACATCAGCTTTGTCTTCGCATCTCCTTATCCTAATTTCGACTCACGCCGAACCTTGTCGATGCCAAAGGTGAAGTTCACTCTCACTCAGTATATTCTTTGATAAGGTAATAATTTGTGTTTAAATCAACTATTGCTTTTAATTCAGTATCCGCTTGACCATTATTTTCCCACATCAACCTATTGCCAATTGTATATATTCTCCATCATCTAAACTCTGATACTCTTTCATAGATAGAACATTGGTTACTAGGATTAAAACCTGGCGATAGTTTAGTTCACTCTTTTTTCCAGTGTACTATAAATCTATTAGCTATAATATGAATAAATCTCTTTTCAACCATCCATCCAGTTAACCTATTGAAACTGGTGTGCTAGATGTATTTTGATCTTTCTTAACGAGTATTTGATGTTTACGGACTTAAAACCGATATTAAATTTATACTTAGGCCTTTACCCATGACTTTTTAAAAATCATTTCATCTAAATCTTTTGCTATGGTCTCCTAACCACATCTCCAACACTGACTTATTTTAAAAGCTCAAATACTTATCTTTGATACGTCAGCTGTACAATCTAGACTCAAACAAATGAAGCAATGAAATGTATGCCTATGGCTAACAAAGATTATCTTGAATAGCTATTTACCCAACTCTTGAATTTCAATTATTATTTCCCTCCACTTAAAACTACTACTATCTACTGGAAGGTTATCACTCACAACTGAATGAATGATTCGTTTTGAGGATGAATACTTGTATACTCTTAGTGAGCACATAGTAATGAATGAAATTGGTCTAAACATTTCTTTGTCGATACTTCTTACCTTCAAGATGCTTTGTATTTAGTCTCTCCACTCCTTCCTCGTCAATACATTCCGCTTATTATATCTTTTTTGTCTGTCTTTTCTAGTCAACCTACCTAATGCCGGACTGCTCAGCCCCAAACACCTCAGCAGTCAATTATGACGAAGTGGTTTCTGGCTTTACAGCCCCTTCACCGATGCGCGAGGAGCATGACCGGCTAACTGTGCTTTGCCGATTAATTGTAATAGATCGTATCGATGCGCTCAACGAGTGCTTACTCCGACTCCAAGGATCCAACTCGTCCAATCAAAAGACCGACTTGCTGGATTCATGTTCAAAGGAATCGACACTCACGTAAGAATTGCTGTGTATTTTTGACATCCATATTTTAGTGTCATACCATAAGTACTACGTTTTCAAAATTGGCTATTACTCTAAGATAATCGCTGTTAACGTAGATTATCTTCAGTATTATCAGTTATCATCGGTTAATAACTTAGTCACTCCAGATCTTTTAAGATGATGTAAGAACTGATCGTTGAGTTTTCTTACAATAAAGTGAGTAGGCCTCATATTGCCATTGGCTTTCACTTGGCCCTGCCTCACAAAAGGCCATCTCGTCCAGGGTGAACTGTAATTTCGACCTAGCCTTGGTCTTATCAGAACCCCCGATGGAATTGGATAACGGGTCGTGAGTAATTTGGTGAAGTAGTCTGTTGCAATGGAAATTCATTTTTGTTTAATCAACAATCCCATTATAAATATGATTTGGGAGAGGCGTAACTTGCATTCACGTCTGCCCTTTGACCTCTGGCATCAGTTTCACTATGGTGTAGAGGTAACCTGTTGAAAATGAACACTGGCTGGCTGATGAGACTTAGGTGTGGATGAGATGAACTTTTGAGGGTCTAGGCTAGGAGAAATTTAATGGCATAGGGAAATTCAATCATCTTATTGTCGGAAAACCCAACTATCGGTTTTTAAATTATCTTAATTGATCTTGGATGATGAATTTATGGCGTTGACTAGACAAATTTCAGAATATACTTTAATATTTGTCAGCCAATCTCACACAAATCCGAATCTTCTCATTACATAATCATTTCTTTTCTCTTATACTTTATACCATTTGCCTAAAGTCCAATTAGTCTTTTCATCTTGGGCTTGAAAAGCAACTATTTACCGACCCCAGGCCTATTAGTTAAAGCTATTTAAGGGCATCTTTCCAAAAGTCTGACCTTCGCATTTATTATCTTCGTTTCCACTTCTTTTTCTTTTTCACTTGTCACCTTCCAGTCTGGCTGACATTCAGGTGGAACAGCATTTGCTCACTTCCTATCTGCAACGCCTCGGAGGCACCGATTTCAACTCTGCTACTTCCTCCTGGTCTCATTTAATGCCAAACAGAACACAGGCCTCCTCTTCTCCTTCTGGACTTATCACCCCTTCCTCTGCTAGAATCGGCGCCTCTGTTGTCACTAGTATCACAAGTGTTGCAGCTAAACCTGCGGATGTTCCCGAGACATTGCACACGCTTCTTCCGAAATCACTTGATCAACTAAACGACAAAGACTCAATGTTTACCAAGTAAGCATCTTCTTTATGTTGCCTTTCTATTTTAGATTCTGCTTTTGAATAGACGCTTGTATTTCTGTTTATTTAATTTTGATGGTTTATTCGTACTTTTCTAATCTAGCTTGACAGTTTAAAATGTTTCTTGTTTTTTTGGCAGCCTCATCTATGCAAATCTATTACCGTTATTTGAGATCAAATTACGTACATACCTTTTCATGGGGTGTCTTAGGTTGTAATGGATGAAATGATAGATGTAGATGTGATGCTGATTCGCTCTTGGGGTATTCACTATCCCTTCTATCAATTTTAAGCTATGCTTGTATTTAGAAGTACTTATTTTTCTCTCAACTTATTAAATTTTATCCAAGTTACTATCTACTCTAGAATTCCATGTATTCCCGAAACTTGTCACTTTAAAGCTTATTCATTCATTTGGTAAGTTGAGAAGATAACTATTCAGCCTGACGGCATACTCTCGCGTTGAATGTTCTATTTCTTAACTCGTTATGGTCGAGCGAAATTCACATAAATTATTATTAGCTAGTATTTTTGATTTCCTAAGGGTATTGCTCTTTATCTGGATATGATATTCTTGCTATGCTTGTAGCAGGTTGCCTAGTTGGATGGATATTAATTAAAACCCAAACAATATTACGCCACAAGAGGTCAATTGAAGTATCCGTAAATTGTGGTCAAATTTAGGTCTTACCGACTGGTATTTGTGTCTTGTTATTTAAATTTATAGTATATACTTTTTAGTTATCTCACTGGGCCCTCCAGACATGTCGACAATGCCAGAATCCACTTTATTAGAAAACTCAAAATTTTACTCAGCCAAATTAAGTAAATTGGGAGAGGCTTAGCATTCCTTGAAACTCACTTCTGCCCTGTGAATGACTGACACTCGTGGCAGTGTGGTGAGGCGGTAACATGTCTAAATTTTACGCTGAATTAACCGGGTTTGCTTCCCGTTGGAGGTACTGGTAAGACCTGGGCGAGGTCGAACCTGGAATCCACCTTTTGTTAAGCAGTGCTACGTGAAATTCAAGGATTTAGTGAGGCCCACTTATCTGATCGTGGAAAAATTCATTATCAGTCCTTCATCGCCTTAAGCGATCTAGGGCAACTAAAGCTCTTATTTATGCAATCCGGCTCATTGATGCCTAACTGATAATTTGTTTGTATTATTACTCTTTCTCATGCACTACCAATTCTGAGGTTCCGTCATGAAATTAACTTGTCTATCACAATAGAAGGAGTTGTTATCATACTAAGCTATCATCCACATTGACTACAACTTTTGAGGAATGACCAGTAGAGTGAACATTGCCTCTCACCACTTTGTGATTGCGATAAAGAGGTACAGCACTTCAAGCCATGCTAAATTTTTGCCTAAATTTGGTGTTTTGTCCAGGAATCCAACTTCAAACTCTCTTCCCAGTGGGCACACTCTTCACATTACGTTGTCAGGAGGTAGATCTTTTGATCGAGTTATTCCAATCTCAAAGATCTCACTCCAAACAATTCGCTCATTTCTTAATCAAAAAATCTTTACTCTTGCCTTACCGTTAATTCAGAATATCACCCCAATATTTACAATATTTCCTTAATTGCATCCATATTTTCAACTATTAATCAAAAGGGGACTTGTTATTTGCAAATAAATTCCATACTAATTAGTTTTCTATAAAAATACTTGTTTCTTGATTAAAGCAGAATTAATAAACGAGTTAAAAAATTCAATGGCTTAGCTAAATAATATCTTCTGCTCCCCTATCCTATTAACTCGAATTTCTTGTAACCTTTATGAGTTTTGTGGAGCGTAAGAAGCCTATTCAATGTACCATCATGATAGGAAGTTCCCCTATACCTAATTTTTTTCCTATTTTCCATTTTAGAAATAATTTATCTTGCTTAGACTTTAAGAGGCCTATTTCATCATCAGACTAACTGCATATTTCTGCCAACAACGTTATCTGAAGTGTTTCAGGCTATTATTAGAAGCCATTTGTGATCTGAATAGAGCTGATAAACTCACTTTTTTATTGATAGCCTCTAGGTGACAGCTAGCCACGGTTATTTTTACTGCCATTTTATGTAAAATATCTTTGGGAGAGCGACAGTTAGCTTTATTAAAATGCAACCTATGTTATTGTAGGCCTACTTGTAACTTATAGTAGGTAGTGAATTTTCGTGGCCACATTAACATTTTGATTTATTGATAGTTAATGTCGTTTTCACTTCCTTTTCACAACTTGGTCGGAGAGGCAAGAGACCTTGTGGAACGTATCTAGCCTTGAGTCCTCTGCCTTAGTATTCGTGATGATTGCCAGCATCGGAATGTTGACTTGGTACATTCACAACGGTCCGATGCTGGAAATCATTATGAATACTATGGCAGAGGAGGCAGGATTAGGTACGTTTCGCAAGGTCTCTCTGAAGCTCCGACCAAGTTGCGAAAACGAGGTCGAACCAAAGCTATAAAGCTAAAGGAGACTGCGACCAAACAAGAATCCACACTATCTTGGTCTTCACACGATGACAGTTGATGCATATTTCGGCCTATCTTTAAAATGTTCCCTTACTAAAAATATATCACTCAATAACTTGTGTAATCCCACGCTTACACGAACCAGGGGTGAAGCACATAACTGCTGTCTTGTCGTACCGGGATTTTGAACTTTATTCTGCTGTAAGTTCACAAGTATATAATCATGCTTAACACAGCATACATTTTGTATGCTTTATAAGTACACGTGTTGACCGTGAATTCATCTTTATTTATAATTTGTGAAATCATTGGAACCAATCCGTTGGGCGATGCAACTAAGCCTTTTTTCAGGTAAATACCAACGTTTTCGGAGGCAAAAACACATTCCTGAGGGATTTGGTGGTCGTCTCTTCGATTTATCACTTGATGAAATAGTTTGCTCCACGAATGTTTTCAAGCCCATTAAATCTATGTTAAGACTTCTTGTCGTTTGTCTGAAATGCATGAATTTCTTCTGCATCTTCGTCAACTCCAGGACAAGCTTCTGTCAATGGTACACATTTTTATAACTCATCGTCTTGATCTGGCCTCACGCCTACGTCTTCACTTAAACGTTCGCTGATCTCTCCCTCAAAAGCTTGGATGGTAACTATTTTGCATTACGTTACTGAATTTACTCAAGTTTTCAAACTTCCTATGGTGTAGACTTCGGATCTACGATATTCAATAACTCTGCTTATGCATACTGGAGGGTCATTAGCTACGAAATGTATGTATACATGTGGAATTCAATGCCAACTTCTCTACTCCTTTTTGCTTCATATAAAAATCCATACAATATTAGTCCAAGACTATCGCCATTCTCTGATAACATGTGTGCGGCAACATTTAACTTCTTGGCATCGCCAAACAAGCTAAGGAGCACGGTCTTGTAAAGCTTAGTACATAATTGCATGTTTTCTTATAGCGATTAGAAAAAGCTTTGAAGTCCTGCACAGATGGGACTTACCAGTAAATATAGATTGCGGACCTGATGCATACTGATCTGTCAATGTGGAAAATCTAAGAAAGGTCTAACAGCATCATATTTTTAGTCTTTCATTTAATGCTTTTATAGCCTGGATTTATTTAATGTTGCGTTGTTATTGTTTAGCTAGTTGAATAAGGTGCTCCACCCCTAAATCTGAAACAGAAGTATTCAGGGACTTTGATATTTTATCAAGAAAGCACAAAGGTGAACTTTTAAATATTGAAAAGGAACGTGAATATCACTTAATTTATTGTATTAGTTTATTATTTTCACCTCCGAAAGGGACGAAATCTGCCTTTTTTCTCATGTGGACTTGTTGTGGAAATTCAGAAGCTACCTTTTTCAGTATCCATATCAATTCGTACTTTGTATGTCCAAAATAGTCTTCAAAAGTCCATGAGTAGGAAGAGAATAAATATAATGGATAGTTCAGAAAGCAATTTGTTTTGCAAAATTGCATTGACC